ACTTTGGTCTGGTTTTTCCCTGACCTGTGAAATCTATGACATATAGGCGTTGATTTTGGTCTGGTTTTTTTCCCTACTTGTGAAAGCTGTGACATGGATGCGTTTGATTTTGGTCTGGGGGTTTTTTTAATCTGTAAAAGCTGCGACATCTATACGTTTTATTGTGCACTGACAATGTCTTGCTTTATGCCAGATGGGCCGATATTGCTAGCACGTCTATTGCCTGTGGAAGTTGCCTTTGAAAGTCCCGGACGATTCCAATTGGATAGCACGCATGTGGCGAGTTATAAGGAAGCGGCGAAGGAGAAAGAACGGGCGAAAGAGCCACGCAATGTGGAGCACGTGGCTGATATCGATTGGACTGACCTTAAAGGCGAATGATATGGGAACATTCCGTCGAAGGCCATTCTGTTTCGTGATCGGATGTGTATGTAGTCTGCAATCATTCAAATGTAACATTCAAATGTGCATGTAGTATGCAATCCGTCCCCCATTGGAATGTTGAGGGCTGTGAAAGGGCGCGTATTGGCTTTGGACGACCAATAAATACTCCCAAGTATACAGTAGATTCATTAATAGGTCTTTCGACTACTTCTGATGTGTCAGTCAGTAATCGCTGCAAACTCTCGAGTGCTTTCATTACACGCCATTATATAGCGATTTATATTTGATAATCCCTAAAATCAGACACAGTCGTACACCACGACCCGGTGATGCGGTAGTGAGTATGATACACTGGTGAGCCACTGTATCATACTTTATATTCAATGAAACGATATGCATATCTATCACAGCTTACTCACAGAATCCCCATCAAGTCAGGTACGGTTATCAAACCTACATGACTCACAACTAGATTATCACACCCAAAGGAAACAACTCAACCAGTATAACAACCACAGACCGCAAAAGACTCAGCCCCTCGATAGTCCAGTTCGCCCTCCCCTGAAAAGCAGGGTCACGGGAACTGCCAACACCTGCCGGTAGCCACAAGTCCACCCCGGACATCAGGCATTGTATATAGCAATAGCGTGTAAACATATAAAGATACCTAAAATCCTAAATCCTAAACAACTACGACTTGATCAGGTTTGGGTTTCGATTTGTAATCTAAAATATAAACCAAAATATGCTGTTCTTTGTTTTGTATCGTTGCTGCGCTTCACCTTCTTTGCCTGTTTGTGGCCAATTTGCTGCAGCCTTTTGAAACTGAAGGAGAAGTTGGAAATTTTTCTGGGAACAAACGGCTCCATTCCTACATATAGTGTCAAATTGAAATGTAACGTCTTCGCGACATAGCAATTGATAGACAAGGCGCTGTCTACTACAAATCAGAAGATTGAAGAAGCCGAAATGGGATCTCACAATGTACCAAATACGAACGTTGTCCAATATACCAAATATGTTGTGCTCTAGTACCAAATTAAATATGTCCTGTTGTGTATGTAAGCTATATAGTTGTTGTTTTTCTGTGATGACAGTTAGGATACATTTTAGAAGCATGCTAAATCCTGCCATGTTTTGAAGCTATAACTCAGCATCGAGTCGTAAACGACCGGGATAACCAACTTACTTTTGTATGGAGCCGAAAAACCCCCAAAACACGCCTCAAAGTCAATGCCGAGAATAGAGGCAAAGCATAAGTTCTCGCAAGTCACCTGCCGATAATTGTTATACTGTAGCGAATAGTCTGATTGTATCATATATTCGTGACACAAGGGTGCGCGAGCATCGAAGTCGCCCTGACGAATAAATGATGACTGCTATACGTCGGTGGTAAACAATCTGCTGTAGGTAGTGGAGGAGTACATACACCCTGGCCGTAATGCATATGTACGGCAGTTGTCAAGGGGGTGAGTGACACAAGTTGCTCCTATGCCCTTTTTCTAGAGGGATTTAGCGTGCAGGTCCACCGTGATCGTGGTACCCCAAATACCTAAGTGTTGCTGATCTAGAACATCACTATTTCTCGGTCACTCCATCCATCCCGTAACCTTGAGTTGATGGTCATCAATCTAATGCTACCGCCTGCATATCTCTCGAATAAAAACGTTCACTTGCACAATTAAGAGCCAACGATATCAAATTGTGGGTCCACATGTATTAAAAATGAACTTAAATTAAAAACCCTAAAAACTCTTGATATATAGATTTTCCGCGTAGTGCTGAAATTGGGATACAAAGTCCAATGCTCCCTAACATCGATATTCAATTTTTACAATCACTGGGACTTGAAGAATAGTCTGGTCCAATCTCGCCTGATAGATCGGCCGTGTGAATTCTACTATTGTTCTCCTTGTCCATTGGATGAGTAACATGGTCGTATACATCTGGAAAATCGTCCCTGTCAGAACGTATCGTCTTGTAGAATGCTTTCGCTAGTGATGAGTTCCTCTTTGTTTCTGTAGGATCAGATTGTACCTCGGTGACGCATACTGCAGTTGCGTGTTATGTTCCAGCCTCCAGTTGAGACTTAGATGTCAAGAATGTAATCTTGATTTCTTCAACATCACGCTTGAAGGTCTCGAATTGTGTCCATTTGGATGTACCAACTGGACCTATTCGACATATGATTGTATGTCGCCAAGGT